GGAATAATATCGGGCTCGGGTAATAATAATATCTATGCTAATTGTTTCTCCAGTCGTACTCCCGAGTGCCTCCTTTCGGCTGCGACCTGTCTCCCCACCCCACCCGATGGGGAGAACTTCGTTTCATATTTGATGCCTCCGACTCGTCGAATCGGAAAAACAGATCGTAGTGCAATAATTGCGGGACGATGAAAGCGAGGAAGCTTATTGCCCGCTCCGAGCGACAAGAGCGATCTGTTTACGATATGAAAACGTACGATATTTTTCTCCACCGGGTAATATTCGAATCGTTTTCCGATATTAGTTACCTCGTTTTATTATACGTCGGGATCGATAGCCGAGAGCCGTTCGATTTGCCGCGCGCGGGGCGAATATTTCCTTCGTGTTAGCGAGGAACGCGAGTGTTGTCTCTCGAGTGACGAGACTAAGTCGTTAGGCTCGATTTAAATTAGGTTAGTTACTTCGGCAGTAACGTGTATTAAAATTGGAACGATACAGAGAAGATTAGCATGGCCCTTGCGCAAAAAAATCCTAAAGCAGCATTTTTAGGTTAGGCTGCTACATTTTAGGTTAGGTTGGTCGAACTAAACGCAGGTTAGTTTACGTTAGGCGCTAGCTCGAACGTTTTTCCTGTATATACCGGTGCGAAGAGCCAAGCAACGAGCGATCCTTCTTGCGTTTGTTTTATGCGGGCCGGCATCGAATCCCGGGCATTAAATTCGGTAAACTTACTACCGTCAATGACGCGCGCTGTAGAAAATGGCAGCGGTAACCCAGTCGCTAAAGGGCGAACGTCACGTTACTTTACATTCTTTGCCGAATTTTACGACCGTCGGTGTGTACGTTGTAAAAATCGATATAGGGAATTCGTATGTATGTGCAAAGTATCGATGCGAAAAGAGGAGCTCTCTCTCTCTCGGTTCGACAGAACGTACCGTCTTTGCAGTTCTCTCCCGATCGTGTACGCGTTGATCGTCGATTGTAAAATTTTTAAAATATCACGATAGACAATTTTTACGCCGCGGCGCTAGCCTGTTTTCGTATAAAACGGATGAAATACGCTCGCCGCGCGTGTCCGTGTACACAGACCGCGACGCCGTCGTAGCGTTCGGTCATTGGTGCTTGGCAAGTTTACGTCACTTTCGCGAAAGAGTTCAGCAAAATACTTCGTCACGTCGTATCGTTTCCACGGCTTGTAAAAACTCGTTATTTATGCATGCGAGGCACTCGAGTGGCGAACAATAACCGAATCGCTGCGACGTTCCTCCTCCCGGTACCTCTCCGTATTATTTCCTATTTGGCGGAAAGTAAAAAGATCGCGAGTTTGTTTGCTTGGTGGGAAGGTGTTGACTCGTGAATCTCTTTGAAACGCGTTTCTAATTCTTTTCTCTCTCTTTCTCTCTCTCTCTCTCTCTCTCTCTCTCTCTCTCTCTCTCTCTTTCTCTAGCTTGACATTTCAACGTGGTTCCTTCCCTTTTCCGTAGCCTCGCAATTAAAATCGTCGTGTATCAAAAGCGTCTCTCGAAGCTCGGTGAATCTGTACTGAAAACATTTTTTACAGATATCCATTCTTTTTTTTCCTTTTAATTTTTTCCTTTTTCGAAACTTCGATGAAAAAGAAAAGAATCTCGCGGAATAATCTATTGAATTCTCCACTCTGACCGAGTGACCTTTGACATTTGGCAACCTATAAATTGCATTTTGAGAGAGAGAGAAAGAGAGAGAGAGACTCGTAAAATTACCAGTGTCTAGCGAATTAAACTACGACTCTCCGTGTCGACTGAACGTCAATCTCGAAGTAAAACGAAAAAGGTGCAAGCCACGTACACAAAGTACGTTTTAGGGAGGCTTTCTACTCTCTCTCTCTCTCTCTCTCTCTCTCTTTCTCGAGAGGCGCGCATCGATTATCGGCGCGGGTATTTACGATCAACCGTGTGGTGGACAGCGCGATAACGTGGGCGGTTGAACTCGCGCCGAACGTCCGCACGTGTAATCGTACGTTTATTAACTGGCCGTGGTAATAATGAACCGTGATTATAACGCGCGCCGTTCGAGGAAGAGGGTCCTCGATGCGACGGCACGAACCCGGTTACACGTTGGCGGCTGGCTCTCAGGATGACCGAGTCAAGGCCCCCCGTGTTACTCTCTGCATCGGCTTTTTTTCTCTTCCCTCTCTGCCTCTGTCCGAGAGCCACATACACACACACACACACACACACGTGGGCTGTCCTATAGTTTAAAACGACCCAGTTTCGTTCATCTCCAAGACGCGAACGGTGAAGTGCAAGTATTGTACAAATGGAACGTGAACGGCGGGGGAGAAAAAAAAAAAAGAAGCAGGAAGATGCAGGGAACAGAGTGAGCGCAAGCAGGTAAGCGAGGAATCGCGATTGGATCGGTGCCAATTCCTCCCGGGAGATACGCCGATTTGAAATTCAACGCGATGAAAGGTTTGCCTTTCCTTTCCTTACCTTTCCTTTCCTCTCCTCTCTTCTCTTCTCTTCGCTTCTTTTCACCCTCTGCTCGCCACCCTCCTCTCCTGTCGTACTCTAGCGCGCGCTTTCGGCCGCGTCCAACTCGCTAAACTAGTTCCGTGGTGGGAGGGGGAGAGCGGGGGGGGGAGGGGGGCGCCCCTGTAATATACGCCGGCTCTAAACTATATATCTCAGTTCGCTAACCCAGAGAAACCGGAAGCACTGGCAGCCTTTCAACTTTGGCAGGTTCGAAATCCTTTTAATTCGGATTGAACTCTCGTAGGGGGCGGGGAGGAGGAATTCCTTGTTTCTTTCCTTCTACTTCTTCTTCCTTTTTTTCTTTCTCCCCTCTTTCTAATTTCATTAATTCTTCTTGACGAGTCACGCTCGACAACAAGCACATGTGCCTCTGCCATTTGAATTTCACGCGGCTGCACGATGCAATCAGTGGAATGTCGAAGATGAATGAAACGGAAACATGGTGAACCGCGACGATGCAGTTTGATTGTCGAAAAGGTGCCTGTCTGTCGTAATTTACGTTTGATACAAGTCAAAAGTTGAAAGGAATATACTGGGGAAGTGATTGAAATAAAGAAAAATTTGTTTAATATACTAGAGCGTATGTTAATTATACTATATTTATAATATAAGTTAATTATACTATATTTATATATAGTATATTATATCTATATATAAAATATAAGTTAATAATACTATATTTAATATATTAGAGAATATATCAATTATAGAGAAGCGATTGAAATAAAGAAAAATATATTTAATTTATATTAAAATTTATATAAAAGAATATATTTACTAGAAAGCATGTCAATTATAGAGAAGCGATTGAAGTAAAGGAAAATATATTTAATATACTAGAGAGTATAAAATAAAGAAAAATATGTTAGATAATAATATATAGTAGTAGTATAGTATAGTATAGTAGATAATAATTAGTTAAATAATATACTAGAGAGTATAAAATAAAGAAAAATATGTTTAATATGCTAAAGAGTATATTAATTACATTATATTTAATATACTAAAGAGTATATTAATTATATTTAATATACAAAAGAATATATTAATTATATTATATTTAATATACTAAAGAGTATATCAATTATACTATATTTAATATACTAAAAAGCGTATCAATTATAAAGAAGTGACTAAAGTAAATATATTTAACATACCAGAGAGTATATTAATTATACCATATTATACTAGGGAATTGTAGTAAAGAGGAATATATTTAACGTGTACATTTAGTTGAAAAAAAAACACGTTATCGAGAAGATGAAACGAGAGAAAAAAAGAGAGAACGTACCGCGTGTGAGTGTGAATGTGCGAATGATCCATGCGTAAAGTTCCTGGAGGACTGGTTTAGGTTTGCAGGGGTCGGAAGACGGAAGCAGATTAAATAGAAACGGGTCGTCGATCACGAATTCTTTTGGAAACTCGCCCCCTTGCAAAGTCGCGCGCGCGTTACACGGCTCTTTGTGCGGCCAGAGAACAACAAAATGAGGGACAAGCGAGAACGTCGTTGACTCGGAAATATCGCGAAGGGTCTCGGGCTTTTGACGAAGTTTCACCAGCCGTAAGAGCCATCATTGCGCGTACAAGTATGTGTCACGAGGGATCGAGATGCTCTCTCCTCCGTACGAAATTCTTCGTTTCAGTAATTCCTCGCCACGATTGCGACCACGTAGAAGTCGCTTTGCGGAAGTATATACGTGTCTCTGTCTGATAGTGGAAACGCATCCTCCGCATTCAGAAATATCTATTGCGATCCACTTGCCGCGTTAACATGTTTCCAGCGAAACGAACGGGAGGATATTTCAATTTATGTTTCATGGATTTAATTTTTCGCGAATAGTGCAATCAAACACTTGTACAATTTCAGTCTAAACATAGTCTTTCAGGTAGATTTTCTTTAAAAAAAAAAATTGTACGTACGTAATGATTGCGTAAGGAAAAAAGTATTTCCAAGTTTGGCAAATTATGGCACAATTATGTCTCTACAGGCAATGCAAATAATAGCGATTTATTACTTACCACAGTGCGTAGAACTCAACGTAAGTTCGATCGTAAATTCGTTTAAAAAAAAAAAAAAAGATGCACACACACCTAGCTTTGAACATGTAAGATTACTAACACAACTGCGCGTTACAAGTATAAACTAAGAAACATACAAAGCAACCGCGAGTAGAGACGGGCACCCGGACCAACAAAAAAGATCAGCACAACGAGCACAGATTTGGTTTTTCGTGTCACGTCTCCTGACCGAAAATCCACAATGGAAAAAATACTCAGAACGAAAAGAAAATTACGGAAAAACAATTGCAAAAGAGCGTGGTAGTGAAAATCCGTTACCGTGTGAAAATCACGTGAAAAATCCTGGATCGTATCGGCATCGCGACCGCAACTGTGTGTTTTTCGATGCGTGTGTGTGTGTCGCCTGGCAAGGTGTGTCGGGCGAGAAATCGGGTGGAAAAATCGAGAGAAGCCCGGATCTTATGGAGGTTAAACGTACGCCTCTAACTACGAAGACACCGCGTACATTTCGTGCACTGACCTTATAACGAACATGTGTCTCCCGTGGTCCCTGGATGGACAGTCATTGGGTCTCACACGGGGTGGCTCGTAGTAGTCAGACGACGGTAGTTCAAGTACGTATTCACGCACGCACGCAGCACCGTGCCGGCACGACCTTGGCGTGGCGGGTACTTGGCGATGGACACGCGTGCGAACGACACGCGTGCACGCAGCGCGCCGCCGTGCGATCCTCGTGGCGCGCCTCGATAGATCCACGATCTCACGGAACGTCGAGTCCGATCGAATCCTCGGCTGGCCTTGCTTCTCAATCTTCTTCTCCTTCTCTCTTTCTCTTTCTCTTCGTCGATCTTCTCTGTGTCGTTCGAAACTTTCTTCCGCTTCGGGCTGTTGCGTTGCGGGCTCCTCGAAATCACCGAAATCACCGGGGTAATCGAGTACGACAACGAGGACGACGACGACGACGACGACGACGACGACGACGACGACGACGACAACGACGACGGCGGCGGCGGCGGCAGCGGGAACGACGACGCGAAAACACCAGGAAGGACGACGAGGGAAGACAACGAAGAACGAAGACGAAGACAAAGAGGAAAACGAAGACGAAGACGAGGACGACGACGACGACGGTGTCTCGTGGCGGTGGTCGATAGCGCGGCGCTCTACTGACGTCGCGACGCTTCGTCGTGTCGTGGCCCGCGGCTCCTACTCGCCCTCCCCCCTCCCCCCGCCCCGCCGCCGCCCCGCGACGCCCTCAACTCACTCCGGAACAACCCGGAAACTGACGAACCTCCACCCCCACCTCTGAAAACTACCCTTATTTTCTACCCCCACCAATGCCGCCGCCCCCGCCGATACTTCCACCAGCCCCACCACCATCGCACAACGTGTGTCGTCACCGCTACCGCCACCAACGCTGCCGCCACCGCCGCCGCCGCCGCCGCCGCCGCCGTCGTCGTCGTCGTCGTCATCATCGCCGCCACCCTTGCACCAAGGACGAAGGACGACGCGATTCTACTTATCACGCGCGCACCAGCTTTCCTTCCTTTCTTCCTTCTACGAGAACGTTCTCTTTCTCTCCGTTTCCCTCTTTTCTTACACGTCTATACACTTTCTTTCCAAAAGGCAGCACCGCCGCGTCGACGTCTCTTTCTCCATCTCTCTCGCGTTCTCTCGTTCCTTTCCACGCCGACCAAGGATGCGCGTCATCGACCAAAAGCCACTTCCGATCGCCCAATTTCTGGTTCACTGGATCCGTGACATCCGTGACGTTTTTGACTTGGTTGACGCAACAAGCGTTCCCCTCTCTCGCGTCGCGGAATATATACACGAAGATTTTCGCTTCGCTGAATTTTCGTTTCCAACTGCTCGATCATCGGATCTCTTCCGTCTCGTTTGCCGATTCGCGAGGAGCAACGAGATCGTAACTTTTTTCTTTCTCTCTCTCTCTCGTACTTTTAGTAAGTAATTAAGAATTTTCCTCGGGAACTTTTCATTTCGATCGATCGATCGATCGATGCGCTCTCCAATAGCCGCCAGCCGCCTTTTACTTTCCTTCCAATTCATGAAAGCGAGCACCGCGCTCTTGGCTAGCGAGATGGATCACGTGACGTCCGCGGGGGGGGGGGGGGGTAGTTTT